TGGAGGGTTCCCATCCACATAGTCATCTGAGCTACTTCAGTTTAGTTTAAGAGATGTAACTAATTAATAACATAATGTACTGTGGCTAATGAGAGAGATGGCCAGATATGAAATTTCTAATTGCAAATAAATAAGAGACAGAGTAAGGGAGTAATCCTATCTTGACCCAACTACTACTGTAGCTTTTATAAAGTCATATTGGTCAAAATAGTCAATATTCAATGCCTAAAGCATGGCACTTAAATTCAGAGATGCAGGTTCAGGTGTTTTACTTTATACACCCACATTTGAAAATGTTGACTTTAATTGCTCTGTGCTTAAGTTTCCACATCTACAAAATAGGGATTATGTTCTTCTATCTCAGAGAGTGATTGTGACAGTCAAGTAACTAATATGTTAAAAGTCCAACACTCGCCAGAATGTATGCACATGTGTATGCACACTCTACCTTACACTCACCCCTTCCAAGCTGGGCCGTAAGTCCACATATCATTTACACACATCTTTAATTTTAAGAATGTGCTCAAGTCCCATTGAAAATCAAAAGGTTTTAAGTACATGCATAAATGCTTTGCTGAATCAGGGTCCTAAGAACACCCAGACCTCCAATTTCTATGGACATTTGCCCTTTGCTAAACTTTTCTAAATTCTGGCAACAATGCAAAATTTCCAATACATACAAGCAGCTGGGTTTCAGTTCTTCTATAGGCTAGTTGGAAAAAATATGGTATAATTCCAACACACATTGCACATAAATTATTACTTATTTGTATTATGGTAACACCAACAATTCACCACACATTGTCCAAACATACCATAAGCCAAAGTCCCTTCCTTGAACTGCTATCTAAGGCTATGTCTATACTGCGCCCGTTTTGCGCAAGAAATATGCAAATGAGACTAAGAGTGGAATATCACTGAGCCTCATTTGCATAATTAATGAGCGGCCGCTTTTTGTGCAAGAGGCTTTTGCGCAAAAAGGAGCCATCTATACTGTTCTTTTTTGCGCAAAACTCCCCTCTTGCACAAGAGCCATTCTTCAGGAAAAAAATGCAGAAGAACGGCTCTTGCACAAGAGGGGGGTTTTGTGCAAAAAGGAGCAGTGTAGGCAGCTCCTTTTTGTGCAAAAGCCTCTTGTGCAAAAAGCGGGAGCTCATTAATTATGCAAACGAGGAGCGGCAATATTCCACGCTTAGCCTCATTTGCATATTTATGGCGCAAAACGGGCACAGTATAGACATAGCCTAAGGGTGCGTCTACACTGCACCATAGGTTAAAATAAGATACACAATTCAAGCTATGCAAATTGAGTATCTTATTTTGATGTTATTTCAAAATAGCTTATTTCGAAATTTGGCACTGTCTACACAGCACTTATTTCGAAATAAAGTGCTATTCTAAAATGTCCCTTACTCCTCAAGGAATAAGCATTACAGGAATGTTGGAACAGCAAGTCCGTTATATTTTGAAATAACAGGCACACTCAAAAGATGCGGAATAGCTATTTTGGGATATCTCTGGTATTCCGAAATAGCACTGCAGTGTAGATATAACCTAAGACAATAAGCAGGAAATAAGATGTAGAGGAGAGCAATAAACTATACAAGTAAGATGTAGAGGAGAGTAATAAACTATACAAGTCAACTATTTTGCTGTTTCTTAAAATATATCAGCCATCCTCAAGTTGGCAAATTTCTTGTAGGCTTTACAGTAGCAATGGATCTTGAAGAGAGATGTGAAGAAGCACAGGAAAGAGACTTTACAACCTACTTTAAGGGATGTTGTCTGTGTGTAAGAAGACGTGGGGGAGGAGGGAGTGCAAAAATGGTTGTGGAATAAATGGACACGAGAGTCAGGGCTCATGGTACTGATGAAGCAAAAGAGGTATAGATATAATAAAATACAAGAACAGATGAGTTGTCAAGGGTCCATTCAGCATAAGATGTATTCAAAAAATATATCACTGCTCATATATCATCATGGTGTGCAACAGTCCTCTACAGCTGGAGTTATAGCAAAGTAAATATTAAATTATTTTTATTAAAATTTTACTAAGCTAGTAAGTATTGTGTAGCACATTTTGTAAGACTGATTCAGTCTTAAGGTATGTCTTCACTTGGAGCTGGGGTGTGATTCTCAGCTCAAAGAGACATACACTTGTTCTTATTAACCTAGCTTGCTAAAAATACAGGAGGTCCCCGCTTTACGATGGCTCGATATATGACCCCCTGTACTTACAACCTTTTCCATAAGTGCAGAAGGGGCTGAAATCCCCCGATTTACATCCTTGGCCCCGCATTTACGATGGCATACGACCCCTGTTGTAAATGAGGGCTCGAATTCTGATGCCCCCAACTTCTGACACTGTTCCCAGAACTGATCGCATTGCAAGTTGGGGGCAGTCTGTACAGAACAGCCATGGTGTCACAAACTATGGGACAGACTAGGTTCCACATGTAAATGCCTAAGATCTTGGATGGATATGTATTAGGTATGACTAACCTGTCCTGTCACTCACACCACTGTAGCTAAACAATTTTTCATGCACTAGCTCAATGACAGCTAGCATGCATATGTCTGCTCAAGCGGGGAATCATCCTCCCCAGTTTGAAGTGCAGACATGTCCTTTGCAATACAAGCAATCATACATAATGATTTGGAAGTCTTACTCATTATTTTTGAATGCTCATTATTTTTGAATGCTTTGAATTCTGAAATGATCACCTTTGTCAATTAGTAAATTAAGAAGTAATGAGGTTATCTATAATTATAGACAAGGTCGGTAGCCTTACTTGGGAAACATGCCATTTTCTGGATAGGGAATGGTTCTGCAGGGAATCAGAAGTATATTTTGCAGAGCCTCTTAGTATTTTCCCTCATTTCCTTTATTTTTATTTTTTGCTCATTTGTTTTTTGAGAGGGATAAAACACAGTGAACCCCTTCATTAATAAATACTTCTATGGCCCACTTCCCATCCTCCTAATTGTCTAGCTTGTACTCAACCAGCAAAGACAAGAGAACATCAACTCCTCTGGGATGAAGGATGAAGGTTAGAGTGGTTCGGTTATGCTTTCTAGTCTTGAATTTAAGCCATCATATTTGCTGTAGATATCAAAGCCTTTAGATTAATTATTGCATCCCAGCAGGCCAACATCCTCTGTGTGTGTAAAGACAAAGAATTCAGGGCATATCACTGTCCTTTCTTTAACCTTTCACTACATAAAACACCAAAACAAACACAATCTCCATGTTTCTATAACAGAGAATTTTCTCACATCCTCTTTCACTTCACATTATTTTTTTCAGAATGACTCCAGAGTGCAGATACAGCTTGGCTTTTACTGACATTTTCCTTAAGCCACAAAGAAGACACTTTCATTTCCTGAGAGTTTCTCCCCTTTCTTCTCCCCTCTCTACCTTGGCTTCTTTCTGAACAGTAGGGAACAACTACACCTTATTACTGACTTTAAACCTACAGAGAACTTATAAGAAAACAAGCTTCGACTCATACTGATAATAGTAATACCTGTAGCAGTGGATATTTATTCAGGTTGGACCTCCCGGTCTGGCACCATCAGGACCTGACCAGTTTAGAATGAGAGAATCTACTTACCAGTGGAGATCCCCTGCCATCGGCTCCCAACCTGACTGGGTTGCTCACCCAGCTGCTGTCAGCTCACTGGGTAGCCCAAGCTCTAGCTACACCTGTGGGGCTCTGGCCTGGCTTACCGTGAGCTGCTGTTGCCTCTAGCCTTGGGTGGCCCTCCTGTTCTTAGGCTCCTGGACTATGGATGTTGCCAGACCAAAGAGTGCCATTTTTTGAGGTGCAACCTGTAATTCTGTGTGTTTAGGTGCACAGTACTGACACTTCATGTAGAATAGCAAAGCTATCAACACTTAAATGTTCTGATTGCAGGGATACTTGGAAAAAGACATGGAGATTTATCTTTCAACAACACCAAAATATATTAGAACATAAGGACATAA